ATTTTGGCCAGATTCCCCACAGGCCAGGCCGAGGAACCCCACCAGTGCACAAATTTGTGCACCAGGGCTCTAGTTGACATATAACATTGTATAAGTTTAAGGTATATAATGTAATCATTTGATATATGTATAAGTTGCAAAATCATCACCTCACACACAGTTTTTTATGTATAGTGAGAACTTTTAAGATTTCTCTTAGCAACTTTGAAATATACAATATAGCATTGTTAACTATGGTCACTGTGCTATACATTACATTCCCAGAAATTATTCGTCTTACAACTGGAAGTTTGTACCCTTTGACCACCTTCACCCATTTCCTGCCCACTTCCCCACTCCACCTCTGGCAGCCACAAATCTTCTCTTATTATGATTCCACATACTAGTATAAGTGAGATCATACAGTATTTGTCTGTCTTTGTCTACATTATTTTACTTAGCATAATACCCTCAAGGTCCAGTCTTAACTTTTTTTTTAAGGTCACCAAATAGCTAATGAATATTTAGAAACACAAAGTCAGGTTCATCTATAGTTTCGTTTTAAAAGTTCAGTCAGTATAACTCAGTAAAGAAAAGTTGTGTGGTCATTTCATCCTAGTAACCAGGGTGGGTAGGCTCAGCCAAGTGAGGACCAGGAGCTTCTGTGTGATGCGATGGAATGTGGGCTTTAAGGAGGCTGTCTGAGGCAGAGGCTCGGAGCTGTGCACAAGGGGGGGAGCGGTGTGTGTGTGTGTGTGTGTGTGTGTGTGTGTGTGTGGAAGGGTGGGTGGGTGTGTGTTTGTGTGTGGAAGGGTGGGTGTGTGTGTTTGTGTGTGGAAGGGTGGGTGGGTGTGGAAGGGTGGTTTCCTTCTACACCTCCCTCCCAGAAGACACCTTTGTGTCTACTCTCCACTGGTGCTAAGGTCAGGGAGAAGAGATAGCTTTGGCTGTCGTGTGGTCTTGAGCATCAAAGGGAAAAGAAAAGACAGAGTCTAAGTGAAATCTCTGGAAGGTGAGAACATTTACAGTTTTACTATGTAGGTCTGCGCCTCTCCTGAATATGGTGTAAATAACACAGGGACCTCCTATGCTCTGAAGCAAAGAAGGATTTATGGCATCTTGCTTTCATTTCACATAGTTGTTGACAAAAAAAAATGTATAAATGTTCTGAGTACATATATATTTAGGGAGATGAGCTTCACTTTTACTCTAATCTCTGCTGGGTTGTAAACAAGAGCATCACTATGTTATATTCCAAAAATAAACAGTACCGTGTGAAAACTATAAGGTTGCATAATTTAAATTGGTATTTCTAAAAAGTAAAGTGTGTACTTTGATGTATACATTTTGTTTTCAGGGGTTTATTAAAGATGTTTAGGACAAAATGTTTTTTGGCGCTTTATTTTTGTTCGTTTATTTTAAAGATATTTTTTAAACTCTTGGTGGTTTCAAAATACCAATAAATATCATTGGTACTCAGAAAACACTTAATTTTATATCTCTATCCTCATTAAATGACTTGTATGATTTGAAATTCTATATTAATAAATATAATAAACTGTCTTGATCTAGAGTAATTATCTACTAATTCCTTTTCTAATGAAATTAACAGTCTGTAGAAGAACGTTATCTCATTATGACAGCACATGGAACACATAGATAATCTTATTTGTATATCTTTGCAAAGACATTGTATGAAAGACCATAAGCTACAGAGATTTAGAAAAAGTAAAGGGATAAATGGATATTAATATACAAGAAAGGATATAAATCATTCTTTGTTTAAGTGCTATATTTCTTTCCATGCTGTTTCTCCTCTATTTGCCACAAGTAAAAATAAATTTTCCCTGTAACCTATTTACTTTTTCCTTTGAGCTTTATTTTTATTTTTATTTTTTTTAAATATATTTTATTGATTTTATACAGAGAGGAAGGGAGAGAGATAGAAAGCCAGAAACATCGATGAGAGTGAGTCATCGATCAGCTGCCTCTTGCACACCCCCTACTGTGGATATGCTCGCAACCAAGGTACATGCCCTTGACCGGAATCGAACCCGGGTCCCTTCAGTCCCCAAGCCGACGCTCTATCCATTGAGCCAAACCGGTCTCGGCTCCTTTGAGCTTTAATAACAGCTGTCTATTTTGCTTTTTTTGTCATGGTTATTAAAGGTATTTAGCTAATACTAAAAGATTTTGTATTTTTGCTTTACTATATATCTTTGAGGAAATATATTTTACAGACTTCACTTTGTATTTACACCTCAGCTAGTAGGTAACATAGAAGTGGTTTTTTCCAGGTAAAACTGTTAAGTGATGTAATATTTTCATAAATAATACCATTATTAAATAACTTCTCTCAAATTGCTAATTGCACCCTTTAAAATGCTCAGGGATATTTTATTCCTGGTCTAGCACATTTTAAGCAGATTGTACTTCACCTAAAGTACATTAGTAATTTAATGATTTCCAAGCTATATTGTAGTCAAATGACTTTTCTTTAGCCTGTGACTGTTACCATTATATTTTAGGGGAATAACCCTAAGTTATGTTTGTTTTATAAAGTTGTGTGATTAGAGCCAAGTGTCTTTCAGTGAATGAATGGATAAAGAACATGTGGTAAATACACAATGGAATATTATCCAGCCATGAGAAGGAAGGAAATCCTGCCATTTGCAGCAATATGGATGAACTTTGAGAGCATTGTGCTAAGTGAAATAAGTCTTATAGAGAACGGCAAATACTGTATGATATCAATTGTATATGGGACCTAAAAGAGCTCAATTCATAGAAACAGAGAAGAGAGTTGTGATTATCAGAGCTGGAGGCTGGACAAACTGGGTGTTGACTGAAGGGTTAACACTTCCAGTTATAAGATGAGTGAATTCTGGGAATCTAATGTGCAACATTTTCATTACAGTTAATAATATTGAAAAAGTTGCTAAGAGAGCAAATCTCAAATGTTCTTGCTACAATAAAGAAACCGTAGTTATGTGATGGGATGGAGGTGTTAGGTAATGCTCAGGTGGCATCATTTGCAATATATAAATGTAGCAAATGAACACATTGTGTATCTTAAACATATGAATATTTATGTCAGTTATATCTCAGTAAAGCTGGGAAATTAAATGCCATTTGTGTGACTAAAGAGTAATAAATAGTAAAATATTAAGTACTAATAAAATACTAACAAATTACCTAAATTATTTTATTTTTCTTACTACTATGGAATTTAAAATTTTCAAGTATTTAGTAATTGATAAGCCAGGTTGATTTTGTTTACATAAAACTTAACTAATACCGTCCCTATATTAAGAGATTGGGTTTGACTTTAATCCCTAGGAATGTGAAATACTAGTTTCTCACCTTACAAAGAGCATTTTATTTATTTATTTTTTAAAATATATTTTATTGATTTTTTACAGAGAGGAAGGGAGAGAGGGATAGAGAGCCAGAAACATCGACCAGCCTCCTCCTGCACACCCCCTCCCCCCCCACTGGGGATGTGGCCGCAACCAATGTGCATGCCCTTGACCGGAATCGAACCTGGGACCTTTCAGTCCTCAGACCGACGCTCTATCCACTGAGCCTAACCGGTTTTGGCACAGAAAGCATTTTAAAGAGGAAGATATTTCTGGTGTTACAAAGATAAAATCTGAAATAATCTGGGGAAATTTACTATACTTGTTTACTAGCAATATTATTTAAATTGTGTAATTGAACATTTATAGCATATATTATTTCTTTTTATAATTTTATTTATTTATTGTCTAAAGTTTTACATATGCCTCCTTTCCCCCCAATTGTTCTCCCCCCACCCCCAGCTATTCCCACCCTGGGCAAGCCCCCACTGCCCCAGTGTCTGTGTCTATTGGTTATGCTAATATGCATGCATACAAGTCCTTTGGTTGCTAACCCCCCCCCCCCCCCCACTCCCCTACCATTTGTCTCTGGATCTATTCTTGTTCATCCAGTTATGTTGATCATTATATATCACATATGAGTGAGATCACATTATATTTATCTTTCTCTGACTGGCTTATTTTGCTTAGTATAATGCTCTCCAGTTCCATCCATGCTGTTGCAAGTGGTAAAAGTTCCTTTTTTTATAGCGACATATGTAGATGTACCACAGTTTTCTAACCCTCTCATCTGCTGATAGGCACTTAAGCTGTTTCCAAATCTTAGGGGTGCATATATCCTTTCTGATTGGTATTTATGTTTTCTTGGGATATATATTCCTAGAAAGTGGTATTACTGGGTCAAATGGGAGTTCCATTTTTAGTTTTTTGAGGAAATGCCATACTGTTTTCCACAGTGGGTGCATCAGTCTGCATTCCCACCAGCAGTGCACGAGGGTTCCTTTTTCTCCTCCGCATCCTCTCCAGCGCTTGTTAATTGTTGATTTGTTGATGATAATCATTCTGACTGGTGTGAGATGGTATCGCATTGTTGTTTTGATTTGCATCCCTGGGATGATTAGTGGCTTTGAGCATGTTTCACATGTCTCTTGGCCTTCTGTTTGTCCTCTTTCAAAAAGTGTCTATTTGCCCATTTTTTGATTGGATCATTTACCTTCTTTTTGTTAAATTGTATGAGTTCTTTGTAAATTTTGGAGATTAAATCCTTACCTGAAATATGTTCTCCCATGTAGTGGCCTTTCTTGTTTTGTTGATGGTTTCTTTTGCAGCAGAAGAGGCTGCCCGGCTAGGGGAGCGAGGTGCACCGGCCGTCTGCCGGTTTCCAACAATCCCTTGGAATATAGCTATCCCTCACTCACAAATACAGACACTCCCCACACCTCCAAGCTCTCTCCTTTCCTTCTCTCGCACACTGTCTTGCAGCCTGCTGTCCCATCAGCAGACATCTTGGATCTCTCCTATTTATTATTTATTATTTTTAAAAGTCTTAATCATTAAAACTTGGAAGAATGAATCAATCTATTATCCAAAAATTAAAGAAAGAAGTACTTAAAAATTGGTAATCACTTTTGTTCTCTTTCTGATTTTGCTCTCTCTCCAAAGCAGATTGCCAAACTGCGGCAGCAACTACAACGTAGTAAACAGAGTAGCCGGCACAATAAGGAGAAAGATCGTCAGTCACCTCTCCATGGCAACCACATAGCCATCAGTCACACTCAGGTAGGCTGTTTGTTAAAGGGTTCATTATAAAGGGAGAATCTTCATCACTTTAGGATTAAAAATTAATAATGTAAATTCCTAGATCTACTAGATCAATACCATTTTCTAAATTGTATAAGAAGTTTTTTTTTTTAGCTATATATCTAATCTTTTTAATGGCATATATATAGTGGTCTCAAGGATAATTGATACTGGCCTGAGCTGAAATTCTAGCTCATTCACCTATTAAGCAATTATGGGCATTATCTCATTTAATCTTCCTAATAGTACTATAACCCATCTATCTCTGTATCTCTTATATTTTTTACCCCTATTTTGCATATGAAGAAATTGAGGACTATAGTTTTGTTAGGGTTTTTCCCTCCTAGGAACATATACTAACATAGCCCAATGGAACAAAATTTGGGAAAGGCTAGTTTAGACCAAATTAACTAAAAAATATTTATGTAAATTTTAATAAAGAAAATGTAGTTTATGGCAGGAGAAACCCGAGTAGTATATAAAAACAAGTCCCGCCCTGGCTGGTTTGGCTAAGTGGTTAAAGCATTGGCCTATGGACCAAAGGGTCTTGGGTTCAGTTCCTGGTCAAGGACACATACCTTGGTTGCAGTTCCCCAGCCCCAATAGGGGTGCTTGCGGGAGAATTGTTGTGTCTCACGTAGATGTTTCTCTCTCTTTCTCTCTATTCCCCCCTAATCCTCCCTCCCGTCCATTCTCTCTAGAAATCAATGGAGGGGGGAGCATAATCCTCTGGTGAGGATAAACAAACAAAAAACCCAGGTCTCATTAGGGATTGTTTCACAAATGTGAGGATGATTCAACATTACAGAATGTATTAGCTTCATTCATAGCATCAGGAGGTCAAAATAGATGGTAAAAAAAACTCTTGATAAAAACTCAGTACTCATATATGATAAAAAATATCTTAATTTGACTAACTGTACATACTGTGAGATTTTTTAAAATATATATATTTTATTGATTTTACACAGAGAGGAATTGAGAGGGACAGAGAGTTAGAAACGTTGATGAGAGAGAAACATCAACCAGCTGCCTCTTGCACCCCCCCCACTGGGGATGTGCCCATAACCACAAGGTACATGCCCTTGACCAGAATCGAACCCGAGACCTTTCAGTCCACAGGTTGACGCTCTATCCACTGAGCCAAACCGGTCCTGGCAATACTGTGAGATTTTACGAATAAAATATTGGAAGTGTTTTTGTTATAATAAAAATCAAATAGATGTCTATAATTATTGATATTATTTGCTAATAATATAGATGCTCTAGACCAGTGGTTTCCAACATTGGGCACATGCCCTACAGGGGAGCAATTTGATTTTTAAGGGGGGCAATTCGAGAATGAGTTATTAACAGTGAATTTTTTGTATTTCTTATGGTTCTGGAGGGCTGATATACAGTATATATACACTAAGTGACCAGATTATTATGCTCTCTGGACGCATTATAATCTGGCCACTCAGTTTATATCCTATATAATAGAAGGCTAATATGCAAATTGTCCCCTGGACCAGGAGTTCGACCAGCAGGCAGGCTGGCCAACTGCCCATGTCCCCTCCCCCTAGCCAGGCTGGCTGGACCCCACCCATGCATGAATTCATGCACCAGGCCTCCAAAACACACACACACACACACACACACACACACACACACACACAGTGAGTGGCCAGATTATTATGCATTCAGAGATCACAATAGTCTGGCCACTCAATGTGTGTGTGTGTGTGTGTGTGTGTGTGTGTGTGTGTGTGTATGTATGTATTGGGTCGGCAGGTAAGTAATTGCGGATTTTTTAAAGAAAATCAAAGACAATTTTTTCATGGAACTAAATAACTTTATTCTGTAATGTATTGCCCATTTTGATCAATGACCTTTTGTCATCTTTCAGGCAGCATCATAATCCCATGTTCAAAAAACTTCTGTTTTTTATTAGCAAAAAACTGAATCAGGTACGATTTGACATCATCATCATTATTGAAATTTTTACCATTCAAGGAGTTTTGTAAAGATCGAAACAAAAAGTAATCAGATGGTGCAAGGTCAGGACTATATGGTGGATGTGGCAAAACATCCCAACCAAGCTCCATTAATTTTTGCCGAGTGACCAAAGATGTGTGTGGCCTTGCATTGTCATGATGGAATACAACACCTTTTCGATTTGTCAATTCGGGCCGCTTTCCTTCAACTGCATTGTTTAATTTCATTAGTTGTTCAATGTAGACATCAGAATTGATCGTTCGGTTGGGTGGTAAGAGTTCAGAGTAGACAATTCCTTTGTAATCCCACCAAACTGATAACAAAACCTTCTTTTGATGAATATCAGCTTTTGATGTTGTTTGAGTTGGTTCACCTGGCCTGCTCCACGATCTTTTCTGCTTGATATTGTTGTAAACAACCCATTTTTCATCGCCAGTTATCAGTCGTTTTAAAAATGGATCATTTTCATTACGTTTCTTTAGCAAATCGCAGCTGCTAATGCGTTGCGTTAACTGTGATTCTTTCAGTTCGTGAGGAACCCATGTATCGAGTTTTTGAACATAGCCAAGTTGTTTTAAGTGATTTTCAATGCATGTATGTGATACATGAAGCTTCTCTGCAATCTCACGTGTTGTACTGTGACAGTCCGAATTGATTATTGCTTTGATTAGGGCGTCATCAACTTCAACTGGACCACCAGAGCGTTTTTCATCTTTGAGTGAAAAATCACCAGAACGAAATTTGGCAAACCAATTTTGACACTGCCGTTCTTTTAAGGCTTCGTCACCATAAACAGCACATAACTTTTTATGAGCTTGCGATGCGTTTTTCCCTTGTGGAAATAAAAAAGCAAAATATGACGAAAATGTTCCTTTTGATTTTCCATTTTTCAACGAACGCCAAACGAAAACTACAAAACAGATCAAAAAACTTTTTTTACTGATTAACAGCTGAATAGCCAACTATCAAATAACAAAATGTGTTTTACATTTTTACTACGTGTGCAAACCTAAAAATTCAACTGAAGCCATATATGTGTGAAACCCGCAATTACTTACTTGCCGACCCAATATATATATGGTGATCTACCAGTATTTATACATTTTAATTCTCTATTATATGTTTTGAAACTTTATTTGCTACTTTTTTCATATCACTTCATATTATTATATTTTAAACAATTTCATAGTGATTTCTTCCTCAATATTTCACCTGTCCTTTTGTTCTTTTATTTTTCTCTTTCATGGATGCCATGTTCTTTGGAAGCTTGTTTAGATCAAGTTAATGGCCTTTCAGGCTTCTTCCATGTGAATAGGAATTCACTTTTTGAATAATATGTCACAGGGTGGCATCAGGATTTTAGAGATGCTTTAATCATGATAGGGCATGGCCAAGAAAAGTTTGGGAATCATTGCTCTAGACCACATGTGTCAAACACAAGGCCTGCGGGCCAAATCCGTAATGCCAGGCCTTGCAATGTGGCCTGCACCGCGCTGTCATCACTGCACTCCGCTGCGTTCCCATCACAATGACAGTTTATGACTGTTCAGTAAACCATTCGGCCCACGATTTAGGCTTGATTTTAGATTTTGGCCCCTTCTCTGATTGAGTTCGACACCCCTACTCTAGACAAAGCAGTGGGGGGAAAAAAAGAAATAATTTATATTATTATTTGCATGCAATATTATATATTTAGAAAATTAAAGTGAATGAACTAAACTATTAAAACTAATAGGACAGCTAAAATAGAAGACAACTGACAATACCAAGTATTGATGAAGATGTGAAACAACTAGAAGAACCATACTTTGGGGGGGGGGGGGGTTGGACACAAAATGGTACAGCCACTTTTGAAAACAATGTGGCATTCTCTGCAAAAGTTCAGTATACACTGGCCATACAGCCCAACAGTTCCACTCTTTAGCATCTGTCCATGAGAAGTAAACACATATGTCCACACAAAGACTTGTATAGCAATGTCCATGAAGGCATTATTCATAAGAGTGAAAGAATGGAAACAAACCAATATCCATCAGCTAATGAATGGATAAACATTTCATCTATCTGTACAGTGTAATACTACTTAGCAGTAAAAGGAAGGAGATACTGATACTTAGATGGTTGAATCTCAAAAACATGCTAAGTGAAAAAGTGAAGAGCAAAAGACTGCATACTATATGATTCATTATATTAAATTCTCAAAAAGGCAGAATTATAGAGACAAAGTATTAGGATTAGGAATTGACTACAGAGAGGCCCTAGGGAATTTTTCAGAATGATGGAAGGTTCTAAATGTGATTATACTCATAATTGGATTGCTGTGTATATTTACAAAGCTTAATGAACTGCATAGTTAAAATGGGAGGATTTTATTGTACGCCATTTATACTTCATCAGAGCTGTAAAACAAACATGCAATTGCCAAGCAAGCCTCAGACATTTCAAGTGAAATTTCACATGACTTTCTTTTTAACCTTAATCTGATAGAATTAAAATACTATTCTTATTTTATTTTGAGCATCTTTTCTGTAAGACTCCAATGCATTTATAGTAGATCTGTTGTCTTCTTGACTTAAAAAAAAAAATGATGTGTTTGTTCCCAATTTACACAAGAAGTTTTTAGCATTTGGTTATGTGTAAAAATAATCCTTGCTATACATATTGAACTTTTTGTAGGTGAGAGGTGAAGTCTAGAATGTTCTTTAAAATACTCTAAGAACAGCTGAAACCGGTTTGGCTCAGTAGATAGAGCATAGGTCTGCGGACTGAAAGGTCCCAGGTTTAATTCCGGTCAAGGGCATGTACCTTGATTGCGGGCACATCCCCAGTGGGAGGTGTGCTAGAGGCAGCTGATCAATGATCAAGGGATTCCCACAACCCCTTCTTCAGTTCAATAATTGGCTGTAATGGCACACAGAACTCAAATAAACACATCTACCTTGTTTCCCCGAAAATAAGACAGTGTCTTATATTAATTTTTTCTCCCAAAGTCGCGCTAGGCCTTATTTTCAGGGGATGTCTTATCTTTCCATGCGCTAGGTCTTATTTTTGGAGAATGTCTTATTTTCGGGAAAACACGGTATTGGTGTGCCTTAATGGTATAATAAAGGATACAGATGAAGAGGAACATAGGGCAAGATCTGAAAGATCTTGAGTGCAGGCACTTATGTCCTGGTGAAGTTGGGGTATGTCACCGTTTGGTGGATATGGATATGTGTTCACCAACCTGGAAGGTATCTGAACCCAGAGTTCAGGGATTTTTATGGGGGTTTCATCACATATGCATGGTCCACTGTTAACTCAGTCTTCGTCTCTTCTCCCCTCTCAAGAGGATGAGGCAGGGTGGGAATTTCAAGCCTATGATCATAGCTTGGTCTTTCTAGTGAATAGCCCCCATTCTGAAGGTATTCAGGAGCTCACTAAGAGTTGTCTCATTAGAACAAAAGACCCAGGAAATTCTAAGGAATTTAGGAGCTCTGTGTCAGGATCTGGGGTCAAAAAATAAATATTGGAACAAAAGGTGCTAATTGACGCCCCCATCACTCAGGAAGTTACAAGAATTTTAGGAACTTTGTGTTAGGGACCAGGGCAGAAACCAAATATATACTTCTGGCAATAATGTTATATAAGTAATAAAAAATATAACATGCCTAAAATTAAGCCTAAATGGCTTAAGTTTTTTTTAAATGACTGACAAAATGGAAATGAAAAATACTTGCAGGTAATTATCTCAGTGCAGGAAACAGACTGACACACACACACCCACAATAGTAGAGTCACATGGTACATGATTTCAACTATGCTTTTTTCAGTAAAAATAGAACAGGGTAAAAATTAAACAGTGTAGATAATTAAGTCTACTATTCTACCTTACCAGGTAAAAGTTTTATTCATTATACATACAGTCATATCTATTTACTTGCATAAAGGATTATTTTGATTGTGATTTTTAAATTTCTTATTTTAGAACCTAAATTTCTATATGTATATCTGAACTTACATTGTTTTGAAAGGTGAAAGTAACTATGCTCATTGTGTTTGTAATTTCAGATTTACATACTCTTTAGTTTTGATTTCTTTGACCACAAATAATTTGATATTACCTTATCTTATTTGTAGGCTACTGGATCAAGATCAGTCCCTATGCCACTGTCAAATATATCAGTGCCAAAATCAGTTGTTTCACGTGTGCCCTGCAATGTAGAGGGAATAAGTCCTGAGTTAGAAAAGGTATTCATTAAGGAAAATAATGGGAAGGAGGATGTGTCCAAGGTAAGTTTACATGGAATGTTTGAATTCCTTTTTTAAAAAAATATTGTTAACTGTCTCAACAGTTCTTTTTTGGTAACAGTTTTAAATGTAATTCACATACCATAAAGTTTGCATGTTTAAAGTATACAATTTGGTGGTTTTTAGCATATTCACAGAGTTGTGCAGCCATCTGTACAACTGATTTTGCAGCATTTTCATCACCAAAAAGAAACTCCATACCCTTGAGCAGTCATTCTTCATTTCCTTCCAATGGTCCCAGCCCTAGGTAACCACAGATCTACCTTCCCTATTTATGGACTAGCCTATTCTAGACATTTTATATAAATGCAAGCATGCACTATGTAGCCTTTTGTAACTGCTTTTTTTTCACTTGTCAGAAATGTCACTTTTGTTTTAACATGTATTAAGTTCTTCATCCCTTTTTATTGCCAAATAATAGTCAGTTATGCATGGATTTTATCTATCATATCATCAATTGGTGAACATTGGTATTGTTTTTACTTTGGGGCTATTATGAGAAATGCTGCTATGACATTTATATATAAGTTTTCATGTGAGCATATTGTTTTCATCTCTCTGGGTTTATACCTATTGTTGGTATGGGACCATGGTAACTTTTTGTTTAACCTTTTGATAAACTACCAGACTGTTTTCCAAAGTGGCTGCACTGCACTTTTTTTATATTCCCACCAGCAGTGTATGAAGTTCTGATTTCTGCATCTTCACTAACACTTGAAATTATCAATTTTATTATAGTCATCCTAGTAGATGTGAAATGGTATCTTGTCATTGGTACTTATATGCATTTCCTGATGGCTAATGAGTTTTAGCTTCTTTTCATGTATTTGTTGACTATTTGTGCATCTTCTTTGGAAAATTGTCTATATTTTGCCCCATCTTAAAATTAGGTTACTTTTAAAATTATTTAATGGTACAATAAAAGTTCTTTGTAAAATTCTTTATTTTCTAAATAAAAGGCCCTTATTAGAAGTATTATTTGGAAATATCTCACATTCGTAATTAGAAAATTTGGGTAATTTGCAAAGGAAATAGAAAACATTGTTCATGGCCTTCAAAATTAAAATAAGAAAGAACAAACAGAAAAATGTATACTGTGAATATTAGATTTTAATTTCTTATTGGCAAGTGAAAGAGATTTCTTGAGCAGTTGGATGAATTAATTCAGTATATATTTACTGAATGTCCGCTGCGTGCCAGACCCAGTACTTGGCATTCAGGATTCAGTGTTAACAGAAGCCTCTGCCCTTGGGGGATAGTGTGGAAATGCTGACCTATAGTACATATAGGGAGCTGTGTAATTTTAAAGACAATTTACCCTTAATACTTTGGACCCTAAACACCTTGGTATATGAAAGAAATTTTTTGTTCAATAAAGGTAACATGCAGAATTTAAGATTGGTATCTTTATTAGAGTAAGAATCACAGATGCTGATAGTGGAATATGACATCTGAGGAAACTCATGTGTCTTCTGTGTGAATCGAGAGTATGCACTGTCATTCACATGTTTCATGGTTATTCCTCCTACAGCCTTTGGATATCCCCGACGGCCGAAGAGCTCCGCTCCCTGCTCACTACCGGAGCAGCAGCACACGAAGCATCGACACTCAGACCCCCTCTGTCCAGGAGCGCAGCAGCAGCTGCAGCAGCCACTCGCCCTGTGTCTCCCCTTTCTGTCCCCCGGAATCTCAGGACGGTAGCCCTTGCTCAACAGAAGATTTACTCTATGATCGTGATAAAGGTAAGATGGCACCACCCACCTCGATAGAGGGTTTGTTATAGGGCCTTGCTCATACTTTCTTTGCCTTAGACCATTGCATCATTTTTTTTTCTTCTTTTGTTGAGTGGTGGGATTGTAAAGGATTGGTTAACCTAGGGTGGTTTGTTCATTGGTTTTACATATTCCCTTCTTTGTGACTCTTACAAACATCTTCCATAAATGTGTCAGAGAAGCACAGCACATGATTCTGAGAGCCAATGAAAGCTGTAAAATGGACTATGTACAGCTTCATGTCATATGACACAGGTTTTTCTTTGGTATTGCCCAGAGTTAATGATGGTTATGGTAGAGTCTATATTTCTTGTGCCTCTAGTTAGACTGTGTAATCAGATTGTTTTGGGAAGAAATAATTTCTAAAAATACTATTGGAAGAAAGAATCTTTTTTAACCAAGTAGATAAAGTTTAATATGTTACCTTTAGGACATCGGGGATTAATTATGTTGTATACATGAATTATTGATAGCACCAATAAGAGGGCAGAACCTTTGGGATTTTTGTTGTTGCTTGTCAGGCCCAAACCATCTCCCACGTTCTTGTGCTCACTCTCTTGTTTCAGTCTCTGGCCCTCTCAGACCTAGACCCAGAAGGCAAACAAAGACTGCCTTCCTAGTTGCTTTCAAAGAAACACTGAAATTATTTTATAACTCATTTATTGCTTCTCACTGTAGAAAAATAGATCCTAGGCAATAAAAATTTTAAAACATAGAAAAATTAAAGTTTAGAGAATCTTAGAGGATTTTTATGGTCCTTGTCCTGACTTGATCTCCCCACCCCCACTCCCTTTAATGTGTTTCATTTTGAGGTATTTTTACATGTAAATTGCATGCTTACATGCTCAGTCCAGTGAATTTGTGTAAGTGGATGCAGATCAAGATTTAGAAGGTTTAGCACCCCAGAGCCTCTCAGCCCCCTTACCAGACGGTATCCTTCCCCTCTACCTGGAAGTCACCACCATTCTGACTTCCATCACCATAATCGAGTTTGTCTGTGTTACTGTATTTCATAGAAATGAAATGGCATTTTGTGTCTGGCTTCTTTCATTCATCATTATGCCTGACTGTCTGCTGAGATTTAAATGGAACCTACTTTGGACTTTGTCCTCTGCTCTTATTTCTGTGGGTAGACCCCAACGGTTCTCTCCTTCCTTTTTGCCCTTTCCTTTTTGAAAGCTCTGTGAGCTCCCTTACCCCATTAAGGCTGTATTGAGTAGGATAGTACTTAAGGCATTTCTTTGCTTCAAGTCAGCAGTCTACATTTGATAGGATGTTAGACCAGGAAACTATCTCACTGAGGCGTCCTACCAGAGCAAATATTTTTAATCACCCTCTCATAACATTTTCAGTAAAACAATCAAGAAAAACTCCTACTAGAAGCAAAGTGTTATTTTGAAGGTAAATGGAAATGTGAAATAATGTTAACCTGTTTTAAGCTACACAGGCGGTAAGTGGCAAAACAGGTCTGTCTGATTGATGCCAAAATCCATATTCTTTGTTACATCCATCTACAAAAGGCCAGTGGCTGTAATGCTGTCACCAGGAGGTGCATGGAGCACCTCTCGGTCCTTCCCTTTCCCCTCCCCCTGCCAGCTAGCTGCTCACAGCAGTGGCAGGGCTCACAGGGCGCAGAGGGGCTCATGTGGGGCTCGCGTGGCGCGGAGGGGCTGTGGGCGTGTGTGGCGAGGGAGGGCTCTCAGCGGCAAGCTACTCATGCATGGCTGGTCTTCGGGTCCCACCAGTGTGGTGGGTCTGGAGTCCCGCCAGTACAGTGGGTCTGGGCCTTGTGCGATTTCACATGCTGGCCTCTAGTGGAAAAGATAAGTATGTTTTAGATTGATCTCTGACGGCTTATTAGGTCTTGTAGTGGGTTAAAATGAAAAGTAAATGTAATAGTGATAGTATGATTAGAAAACTCTGGAGTTTTGTTTTCTTCTTTTTAAGTTTAATACTCTGAGTATTTGAGAGACACTGACCCACAAAGGAAATATTTTAATAAGTTGACAGTGAACCATCTTGGTTCACTGGTTGTGAGGTTGCCTTCAGGACTCTTAAGTGTCTGTATTCCATGAAACAGATAAATCTGGACTCTGCAGTTCGATTCTAAGTTTAAAACCATATATGTTCTTTAATGCCTTTTTTCCCTAAAGACTTACAATCTTTGTTCTTATGAGAAGGTATATTGATGCCACTCTCCTGCACTGCAAGGTCTTCTGCAGGGAGCACTCTTCAACACCAGAGCTAAGAGCTTTGACACACAGGAATGGATTTGAGTCCTTAAAGTTTTGGGCATAAAATTTGCATTAATTCTCAAGGATTTCATAAATGGTAGCTGCTGCTATAAAAATAATAATTGTTATTATTACTTATCTCCCCAGAGCAAATCTTTTCTTTGCAACAGCAATTTTCAACCAGTTTGCTACAAGAATTTTTAAAACATGCAATACCTGACTATTTAAGTCAGGGACACTGACCTATTCTCCCTTAGATTGTCAAATAAAAAAAGGACAACAGCCAATATAACAATTAACATCTGGTATGAATGAATCAAAATTATACCTTTTTGGTCAGATCTCTATGTACAGTCTAAATTCTGGGGATTTTTTTTTTAAAGGTACTTATTTTATCTTATAATTAGCATATTTTTGCAATAAAACATAAATTGCTCTTTTGTTTCCATATATTTGCAGTAAAGAAAAATGTGAAAGTTAATAGGTTTCTAATAGGTTTGCATCATTAACTATGAAGACAGAATTGATCCTATAATGTTGTAGTCAACTAGGATTGATTTGGAGACTCCCATATTGTTCAGTTCTGTGGGAGACTAGCCAGTTCAGACATCCTGGGGCCCTGGTTAGCGTTCTCAGGAGGGGAGGGCCAGCCGCTGGAATATGCGTTCTAATGAGAGGTATGCTGGTGCTGCTTCCATTACTCCTCTATTCAACACTTATTTCTGCCTCTTTCTAGCATCTATTCTCCATGAATCATGTGTAATTTGAGACCTCTAAAATAATTTTAGTTCATTAGCCTTCTGGGTTTTTTTTGTTTTGTTTTGTTTGTGTGTTTTGTGTGTGTTTGTGTGTGTGTGTGTGTGTGTGTGTTTTGTTTTGTTTTGTTTTTCTTGGGCTATTGCAGTTGCCCAAGACAGAACCATTCTATTGAGAAAGGTCCAGCCGGGAAGAGACTGCTTTCAGGTTTTGGTTTGTGTGTGTGTAGAATTCAGGGATCCAGAATAAGAGCTCTCATCTTGACAGCCTCAGACTATATCCTAAGAGTCGAGTCGGCTAAATTCTTCCACATTATTATGCCCCAACTGCAAGGGAGGAAAATAGTAATTTATATAATACAGATGGCAGCATAAAAATATTAGTTCCCTTAGCAGCTCTGTCAGTGTTCCTTGTTGGTAGCCAAACTGGTGCTGGGCAAGCCACAAAATCTAGACTTCAGTCTGCCACTTTTAGTTGGTCTTTGGCACAATTCATGTCAGCAGTTGTTATAACATTCTGCAGTTTTGCAAGATATAGTGGAAACATTGATTATTGTAATCTAAGTCGACTCAAAAGTTCTACTCAATCCAACTATGGAGAGCTGTATTCCAAGAGCCCATAAATTGGTTATTTGGAACATAAACTATATTTTCCCACAGGAACAACATATGTTATGTGGATGGAGTTTCCTAAGACCAATGAATAAAAGCCTATTTAACTCATACTGTGATTTAACTCATAAATATTAATATTGCTAAGACTTTTTGGGTGTTAGAACTGAGCAGCCCTTATTCACAGAAGAGAGGAAAAAAAATTCTCTTGTCTTTTCAGGGTCTCGAGTTGACCCTAGGCAGACTTTGAATTTTTACTATCTTCTAATTTCTTTCTACATATATTTTAACTCTATCTGATTGATCTGTAGAACTCTATTTCTTAACCTTTTTTGGCCTTTACCCTTACCATACTTTAACCTTCTATCTTCCAGATAGCCTAATCAGCCAAGATTTTGGAGCACTGTTCTTTTTGTGGTTTATTTTGTGAAAATAGATACGTTGGATATACTTCTTTTAGCTCCTACATCTTGCCAATCACTGCTTTTGAGCCTGAATCGGTTTTTCTATGAAAGGAATCTTCCCATGTGGTTCTAGGATGGTTATTCTAGAAGAACCTCTTGGTGGTGAAATTCCAAGGAGTGTAGAGATTCCGTTCCAACAAAGGAGTTACCTCACAGATTAAAGCAGATCTCTTCTAAAGTGACAGAACAAACAAAGCAAACAAACTCTTAGACACAGGCAATAGTATGGTGGTTACAGAGGGGAAGGGAGTTGGAGGGGGATGAAGAGAGTAAAGAGGGATCAGTGGTGACAGAAGGAGACTACACTTTGGATGGTGAGACACAGTGCAATATACAGATAACGTATTATAGAATTATACACTTGAAACATATAATGGTATTAACCATTACCCAATAAATTTAATTTAAATAAATAATAAATATTAGCTACTATTTCAAAAAACTGATCTGTTTTAGAATTATGTCTCTGAGGTCATCTTTCCAATTTCTTTTTTTTTAAGATAATATCTAAAATTATGTATATCCTATTCTGACAGCTTATAAGGAACATCTAGTAAATAAATGCCTTTTTCCCTACTTTTGGAAAATGTTCACAATTGTAGCAATGGCAGATGCTGTGCTAGCTCTCTGGATAAGTTACTGTTCATAATTTAAAACTAATAAATATACAGCTCAGTTCCAACAATTACAACCCAGAATCTATAATAGAAGCAACCCAGAATTTATCATACCTGCATGTGTCTTTCACCTAATCTCCTGTTACACGTTTAGCAGAATGTGAGATCCAGCAGGAACAGGTAACTTTATTTTGCTTGTTGCTTTATCCTTAGCAAGTGGAGTAGTGTCTAGCAGAGTGGTGCTTAGTGGAGACTTTTTGAGTAATCCTTTAAGAGCTTTCTTGGTGGTATGTCCATTTTTAAGGATATATTTTTATAGCTGTGTTGAAATTATTAGTGTCTTTTTTGTTAAGCTCTTAAATTGTATGTGTTTGGCTTTTGAATGTTCAGGAAGAGTGTGATACTCTTTCTCCCCACCTCCCCATAAACAAATAAAAAAACTGATTATGTGAACCTAGTGATAGCCTTTTGATGGGAAAGAAGACATGAAGCTTCATTTCTTGTTGAAATTAGGGGAAAGGAAGTACCTTTGCTAAAACCCGTCGCATCTTTAATTCTGTTCATGACTGGAGAGAAAATAGGGTATCAGCCAGGCTAGAGGAAAAGGGGACCTGTTGAATTTTGTCCCGTTACCTTTTGTTCTCCTCTCAGAACAAATATCAACACAGAGGTCAGTCCTTGTACTGTATATCTTTGTGAAGCTAACAGAAGGCAGACCTAATAAAGCTGTTACCTGAGCTATAAGATTTTAATTAGAAACATAGAATGCTAGGCTGGGAGGAACTCGATCTTCTGGTCACCTCATGTCTCTAATGAGGACAGTGGACAGTTGAGTTGAGATAGATCAGAACTTTGGCAGACAGCCTAACGGTAATGAACTCTGACTCAGATTCACCAGTTGAATCCCTGCTCTGCCACTTACTATATGTCCTTGGGCAAGTTACTCAACCTCCCTGTATCTCAGTTTTCTTGCCTGTAAATTAGGGATAATGATGGTACCTGCCTCATAGCATTGTTAAGATGATTAAATGTGCTCAGATGAGTTTACCTGTGTTATCTCCCGTAATAATGCCATAATCCTATGAGTATAGATATTGTATTTATATTATCAGTAAGAATGCAGAGTCTGAGGCTTAAAGAAATGAAGTAACTTAAGTTCTCTGCAGTCCAGATGTCAACAAAAATGTTAACTACTACTTGACCCTACTTCTTGCTGCCTTTGCAGGAAGAGTGCAGACATTCAGTGTGAAAGGGCCTGGTATGTGGAGGAAGTAAGTTGTGTGGCTGGAGCACAGGGGTGAATGGTGGGGAGCAGGTAGAAAGCAATGCACCTGGAGAGGTGGAGGAGCAGCTACTTTATAAAGGGCCTTGGAGGCCTCGGGAAGAGAAATGAAGAGCCAAGCAAAGACCTTTTGTCAGCTAAAGGACACGACTAGCTCTCTCTTTTGGGACCATAACTTGGGTGGAATTACAGAACTGGAGAGAGACAGCAGGAGTACTAGCTAAGATGCTTTTGTAGGAGCCTAGACCTGTGGTCTCCAAACTTGACTTATTACATACACTTTTCAACCATTTTTAATCTGTGTCCGTAATATAAATTCATATATTTCCAAATTATCTGTATGTAATCCATTCCCCAAGCTAAATATGTGCTTGTAGAGCTTCCTTTCATATTTCAAAGATTTAGAGTAAATATGAAAATGTTCTAATATTTTCTTGCCTGTCAGCAAATTGGGTTGTGCACCTCAGTCGGGAAACCACAGGTTTAGGGTGAAGTCGAGGAGGGATGGCAGGGGCAGAGGACTTGGAAGAAGGGATGGAAGAAGGATCAGCAAGCAGCATTTGGTGGCTGATTAGATGTGTGAGGTGAGGGAGGTGTATGTGAAGGGAGATGAGGATAAAGGCAGAGCTCTAGCTTGGGAGTTGTGAAAAATGATTACCACAGCTAATAAGGCAGTGAGCATCAGAAAGGGAGCAGGATTTTAGGAATATAATGATACAATTAAGGTTCCATGTGGCTTTCTGCCTGAAGATATTATAATACCATTTTCATGTAGCAATTTTTAGAAATTGGAAATTAGAAAAGTTTCAAGAAGAAAAACCATTTAATTCATAATAGATAGTTAACAGGAAGATAATCAGTTTTGTAGATCATTCAACTCACATGTAACTTTCAGTTCTGGGAAAGTCCCTAGCCTAGTGATGTAATAAGAAATAGAATACAGATTGTAACTGTGGCCAAGATGATTTTTCTCACATGACAATAGGGTGAATCCTTGTTTGCTACTGACACAGTCACACCCCTGCCGATGGCAGAAAGGCGTTTAAAGGCCTGGGGCCCATCGTCTTGGGCCTCTTCTGCACACCAGGAAGCTCTGTTATTGCCAACAGTCATCTCCATGGAGGCTCTATCTACTTTCTTCTGTATTTCCTGTGCAAGTCTTGCTGTTTGGATAGCAAAGCAAGGTCCAGCTATGTTTTTGGAATTACAGCCTCATTCTCACTCGTTTTCTACTGTGGACTAGTCTTTTTGGCTAGCCTAGCACAAATAGAGAGCAGCAAACTCAGACTCTAATCAGGTTAATGATACTTTGCATCTTCCTGAGAGAGAAATTCATATCCTCTTCTCCCCACTCCCACAGGAGATTTGTTTAAGCAGTATAGTGTAAGTGTTGAATCTAAGACAATCCACAAATCTGTGTGGTATGTGAAGAAACCCAACTTAATGCTAAGACTTGATTATTTCCAAGAAACTCCGCATAATCTGTAGGGACACGCATAACAGTAGTGATGGAGGAACTGTGTGCTTCTCTAGGTTTCCCAGTAGTATAGCCTTATTTTTCAAAGTAGTGATTTCCCCGCCAGAGATAGAGCCACATCCAAATGCAAGCACACATCTTTGTTCCCAGGACTAACATAGAAGCTCTTTAAATCACTCACCAAATACACTGTAAGTGTGCCTGAAGGGTCTACTTTCTAAGCATGTACTATACTTCATTAATAATGATAAAAAGTCCCTATACTCAGATTCTGAATGTTAGACTGTGTTCCATATCCTAAACTAAAGCAACTTATCAAAATTGTGACTAATGTAATTATGGTGCAAATGCCATCTTTCTGAATATGTATGAAAATAATACATTTCACTAGATCATGTGCTTAGTATTTTAGCAGGGGGGGATTGGATTTGCATTAAGTCAGAATTTGTTTAAATGCGACTATTGTATTTATACAAGCATGTTACTGACTTTACAGCTTGGCATCTCATGGAGATAATGACACATTTTGGTGGGTTTGAATTTCCAAAATCCTTTGCCAGATAGGAAAGGAAGAAATTACATATAGATTTTACAGCTTTTCATGAATAAGACCATTTTCTTTTTGGTCAAAATATAAAGAAAACATGTTAAGTAGAGACGTTTTTAGATTTCTCATGCTTCCAGTAGCAAAAAGACAAATTGTGCTAAGAAAGTCCTTTTCTACAGGCATTTTCAAGGCAAAATCCTGAGCAAATTATTTTTTCATCGTGGGATGAAGGGAAAAGACATTGTGTTATAAACTCGTGTTTTTCCCTGCATACATATTATTCATAATGTTTAATATAAAAGTAACGTTTCTGCTAAGAGCTAGCGAAGATTATTCCACATACTAAAATTTCCAATTACATTGGTTGGACAGTTAGAATACATAGAGAACCCTGTATTACAATCTCTCGTAATTCTGTTGAATGACTTACACATATTGCGCCACTCATTTACATTTTGCAATACATAATAATGTATTTGTTTTCAGGACTACAGCTCTACTTTATTCAGAATGCAGTTTTCTAGACCCAAATATCATCCTTTCATGTTCCGTGGTGTGCCAGATTACTGCTGCATTGAAGATTCCTTTATAAGAAATGTACTACAGAAGGGTGTTAGAAATAGCTTTGCCATAAAGGAAGCTCTGTGGTGGAAGCCAAGGGGCCAGAGTGGATAAATTGTGCAAACGGCTGCTTGTTTGGAAATCAAATTTAATTGAAAAGAGCTTTCAATCACTAGTTAATATAACTGCTTTAAATTTACAGACAGTGGGAGTAGCTCACCGTTACCCAAGTATGCTTCATCTCCCAAACCAAACAACAGCTACATGTTCAAACGGGAGCCCCCCGAGGGATGTGAGCGAGTGAAGGTCTTTGAGGAAATGGCGTAAGTAATGTCTTTTCTGTCAGCTGGGATCTGCAAAGCTGTGAAGCTTTTCACCGAGACCAGTTGATTACAGATGAATCAACTACTCCGTCCAGCTGATAATGTGTTTCAGAATTATAAAAGGAGAAACAAATGGGAAAAAGAGAGCTTAGTGAAGGAGAAGTGGAGGCTGTATGCTGGGAATATTTAAGCTAACACAAAAGGAACTTGGAAACTCATCCTTAACGAGCTAAAAGATCCATTTTTAGTCATTCAGAACGTTCCCTCCCGAGGCTGTGTGGATGTAGGTGGATAACACAAAGACTTTGAGCAGCAGAGTCAGTACCACGCGTGGTGCGTCTAATGGCAGTGGCCACCAGCCGGAGGAAGCCAGTCTCCTTCCCTGTGGACACATGTGCCATGTATAGTCACTGGACTTTCTGTTTACAGATTCTTTTCTTTCTGAAATTTAAATATGTACACATTAAAAATTAAAGAAAAGAAGTTCATACTGAAACTACTTGGCAGAATAGCCTAAACAAAAAAACCAACAAAAAAACCAACAACCTGTGTGGCTCTTGGGCAAAAAAGTACAACAATCCCTGTGCCCAGTGCAGGTGTGTGGTGGAGGCCGCGGCCCCTTGCGTGTAGCAGGGACAGCCCTGCCTGCAGGGGAGGATGGCTTAGGCTCTGGGCGTGGAGGACGGGAAGGGCTCGCAGACCCTGCTTTGTCGGGCTGACTGGCTCTTTGAGAAGCTACTGAAACTTTATTTTTCTGATCTGTGTTACTAGAACGTATGTATAGAGATGCACAAAAAGGAGGAAATGCGGGGCAATCCTCTCCCAGTATACTTTTTCTTAGAAGAAAGAGCTTTCCAACTGAGCATGTTCTTCAGCTATAATGTGAGAGGTATTCCCACGTCCCTGAATGTTTGAAAGCAAACTAATGAACTCTGGGAAGATTAGTCTGCCCAAGTATCACTTCCGTGCTGTGTGCATCAGGATCTGCCAGCTGACTTTGCTATGGAAGATGTTTACCCCTCTACACTTAACTCATCCCCTGTCATTCACATTGTAGCTGTTTTAGAAACTCCTATTAGTTCAGAAAGTGCTTAACTTTTTTGTGATTGTAAGTAAACCTCATTTTATTTTATGGTTTTAGGTCTCGTCAGCCTCTCTCAGTCCCTCTCTTTTCATGTCCTGACAAAAACAAGGTTAATTTCATCCCAACGGGATCAGCTTTCTGTCCTGTAAAACTCCTGGGCCCTCTCTTACCTGCCTCTGACCTGATGCTCAAGAACTCTCCCAGCTCTGCCCAGAACCCAAGCCTGGCCACCCTGACCGTGGAGCAGCTCTCCTCCCGGGTCTCCTTCACATCTCTCTCTGACGACACCAGCACGGGCTCCATGGAGGCCTCCTTCGTCCCGCAGCCATCCCCACAGCCCCCGCAGCTCCTGCAGGACCTGCAGGGCGAGGAGCACGTCTCTGCGCAGAATTACGTGGTCATCTAACGCAGCCAGGGCTGGCCCTACCGGACCTTCCACGGTAGGAACCAGGTCTCAGACGTCTACCTGCATGGAGTGACAAACTTTCTGAATGCCACCACCGACAACAAGCTACTTAGCAGCATCGTAAAGTATCTCTTAACACTGATCTTGGCAGAGATGGAACTCCTCGTCAGCAGTTTTTTGTGGAAAGCAGCAGTGCTTGCAAAATGTGTGTGTCACTGAGCATTTTAAGTGGAGACTATGCATTTCATAGTATGTTTGACAGATTAGTACTGTGTCCTGTGTTTTGTTCCAAATTCTTCAGTATAAATAAGCTCTATATCAAGAAGTTGCCTGTCTAAATAGAAAATGTCTTGCTGTGTTTTGTCCTATGGAAAATACTGTACTTCAGGATTATGTTTACGATCGATCCAGGTGTTTGTTTCTAACTTTGGTAATACATACAATGCAAAAAATAAAATAATAAAATAATGGCCACAACAGTTGCACAGTGCCCACCCTATGGCCTAGCTTCAGGTACTTCAGTTGAAGTCTAAACTCAGGTAACTTGGAATGTATATCATATTGGGATATTAACTATTTCACAGCTAAAAAGCTAAAGAGGGAACATCACTCTTTGCCTTTCCATGTTTTACGCATTTCCCTTTCCTCATTACATTCCACTTCCTTAGAATAAGAAGTGCATTCAGCCCTAGGAGAATGAGGACCAGCAAACCCAGGGTGTCTGACATCACTCTTGTCATGTGGTTACCAGGAAAACAGCTGTTGCATTCATGGTCACAACGTGTGTAAACATGGCTTTTTATTATTATTATTATTATTATTATTACAAGTTCAGGTGTTGCTCAGTTAATGACTGTTCAGTGTCGCATATAAAGTATCCAGTACCAGCCTGTGCACAAACATTCCACATTGTGTGTGATGGAATTTAAAGGAAAGAATGTCTAGGTTTAAATTCAGAGCGAATGAAGTTTCACAGGGAGTGGTTGAGATTTGTTTGTTTATGTTGGCCATCAAGGTCATGAAATGCTACTGTTTTATCTAAAGGCATGTTAATGTCTAGTTTCCCTTTTGGAAAGTCTTTAATTCGCAGGTTTAAAAAACGTTTGGGGTTATTGTCTTCCTCAAGCAGTTCAGGTGCACGAGTGACATTCATGTAGAGAGGGAATGTGTAGGTCTCAGAATTAATGCCACGGGAGTTAGAGGTTAGTTGGTGACTTACAAAAGCAGTAAGGTCAAATAGCCTTGACCTTGCAGACTTGACTTGACTTCTCAGCGCAGCGTGAACAGGGCCCCCAATGCTGCCAGCTGCTCAGGGGAAGAGCCCAGCTTTCAGACATTGTTTTCTGCCACACAGAGAGAGGATCCAAAAGCAAAGGGAAGTTTTCGTATTTTCATTGCATTGCTTTTAGTTCAATAAAACACAGAGTTGTTTCCATCTGCACCTTCCGTACATGGCACAGTTTTCTCAAGAATTAGGGGAACAAGATGTCTACTGGAACGTTGCAGTTCCCTTCAGTCATTCCCAGGTTGTTATTTTCTAAGGAGGTTGGAGAAGGAAGAGACGGTAGAGATGAAAGCAGCACCATTGATTTTTTTTTATTTTAAAGAAACGGCATCTATGTGTATGTGTTTGTGTGTGTATGTATTCTGTGTATTATTTCGTCACGATTCCAATTTTCTTCTTTCCACCAAAGTTTGCAGTAATATTCTCTCCTGAAGGCGCATTCTGGCTCCTTTAAATTAGTCAGTGTTACGTTGTAGGAGACTCATGGGAAAGGATTCAGTTTACTTTTGCCGTTTTCACAGGGGAACCTTTTTAAACAATCTCTTCAGCAGCAGACACCTTTAACCCTAATAATCTCAGGCCTTGATGAAAATACTATATTTTGTAGAATATGGTTAAAGGGAGAAACTTATTAGTTCTGTAAGATAAATATGAGCTCCATTAACTTCTGATACCCAGTTTAGCATTACCCATGTGTTGATCTTAATGCTCTGCTTTTGTCCAAATAAGATGCAATAGTATCAATATCAATTTCCAAAAGATGGACTGAAGATGCTTTTCTGGTGATGAAATCTGATGTACGATATTTATAGTGATATGTGCTTTTTATTTTCTCATGATAAACTGAATATTAATTGTGTTGTACATTTATTCTTAGCCTATATGAACGTTTTGAACCAAATGTGTTAAAGCTTATGCTTTGCCATATAAATTCGCCGGAAGTTGTTGAGCTCAAATGTATCCTACATCCAGCTGTAGAAAAATGTCAGAAAATTGTTTAAATTTTGTACATAGTCTTACTGTTTAATTCTAGCCACTGCGCTGAACAGTATTGGAGTTACCATCATTATGGCTTTACACAAGGAAATGTGTGGCTTTTGTTTTGTATTTTTTCAGTATAGAAGTTCCTGTGTCTTATTTAAATAAAGTTATTAGTAAAAGTGGAACTGCTCACAACCATCTTTGGGGAGACTGGGAGGCCGGCATCTCAACCATCACAGGAACTCGATGCAGGGTGATGGCCCTCTGTGGTGCTCACCGGTTCCCGACCTGCGTCTCCGGGGCTGAGGGAATCTAACTGGATCAGGTTTCCACAGCCTGCTTTCCTTCGACATTTAATTTACACACTTTCCATCACAAGGTAAGAAGCTAGATGTCTAAAGTTCCAAGTCTCTGAAATGCCCCCAGCTCTGAGCACCTGAAATAGAGAAAACATTGTTCCCAAGTTATTATTTTATACCTAAGAACTCTTGGTGGGAACAGGTTATTGTCTTAAGTTTGGTGAAATCATCTAAAAAAAAAAAAAAAAAAGTTGCCTATTTCTTGCAATGAAAGCTATAGTTTAAAAAACATGTTTATTTTCTACTCTTTTCATTTATGTTTAGATTCAGGATAAGAGGGAGAAAAGCTTGACAGAAGAGTGGAGCGTTGATGTTATGTCCCGCTACCCAAATGGGCTCATGATAGATCCTGTGCCCTAAAAGCAAAACAAACCACATGGAGCAGTAGTTTACCAGCAGAGGGCTCATATTCAAAAGCACATCTTACCCAAGAGATAAGATTTCACCTTTAAAACAAACTTTAAAATGACTACTTAATGTCTGTGCTTTTGCATGAAAAAAGGTAAAACACAACATTTTAATTGTGAAGTTTGTCAACTATCTTGAGGATGATTCATAATTCAGACGGGGAATTATGTACCTTATGCAACTTAAAAATTCCATTGCATGCCGGGACCGGTTTAGCTCAATGGATAGAGCATCAGCTTGGGGACTGAAGGGACCCGGGTTCGATTCCGGTAAAGGGCATGTACCTTGGTTGCGGGCATATCCCCAGTAAGGGGTGTGCAAGAGGCAACTGATCGATGACTCTCTCTCTCATCGATGTTTCTAACTCTCTATCTCTCTCCCTCTCTGTACAAAATCAATAAAATATATATTTTTTTAAAAATTCCATTGCAAGTGAATTCGAAGGAAAAGTAGAATTCTCAGCCCCATCTCTGCATGACTCAATCAAATGACAGGCTTAATATATAAACAGCCCTGGGAAACAAGCAGAATGTCAGTATTTGCAAAATAAAGTCTTGAAAAACAAAGGGGGGAAATTAGGCCTGAGTTCGAATATATGTTTAACCTTATACTAGCTAGAAATAACCACTGGAAGGTTATGAATATTGCAAAATAAGGGCTTATCCCCATGCTCCACCCCACAGGGTGAGGCCCCTTCTCTGTGTGAAATTTCCTATCCACCCATGTTCCCTACAACTTCTGCCTTCTCCCTCATCTGCTCAGGGCTCTGGGGCTGCAGGACTTGGTGAAGTTGGATCCCTTCATTCATAGAAGCAGTCAACAGCTGAATGCTGTAGTCTAGCCCAGGGGTTGGCAAACTCATTAGTCAACAGAGCCAAATACCAACAGTACGACGATTGAAATTTCTTTTGAGAGCCAAATTTTTTAAACTTCTTCTAAAGCCACTTCTTCAAAATAGACTCGCCCAGGCTGTGGTATTTTGTGGAAGAGCCACACTCAAGGGGCCAAAGAGCTGCATGTGGCTCACGAGCCGCAGTTTGCCGACCACAGGTCTAGCCCCACAGTTCCTCTCAGATTTGCCTCATTCCAACTTCAATAATTAAGTGGGATGAAGACACTATCTTATCCCCTGTTGCACCAAATCAGCTTGCCTCCTTACTATCCCCCATGCCTGTTTCCCAGAAGGCAGACGGAATTCCAAGTCCTGGAGTGTTCCCCATCTAAATCTCTCTGATGAGCCTTTTCCTTCCTCCCGTCTTCCCACTGAATTTCAAGATGCAGAGGCACGGTGGCTTCAGATCAGACAGCCAACCAGGTGGATGAATTTCATTGGAAATGGGATTCTCATGGCAAGGAAAGAACATTAAGAATGCTAGACTTCAGTACCTCTCTAAGCCATAGACCAGGGAGGGGTCAACCAGCTACTGCACATGGGCCAAATCCACCCCATGCTTGCTTTTGTAAGTAAAATTTTACTGGGCCAAAGCCACCCACACTTACTTGCTTATGTAATGAGTAGTAAAGTCTTAGGGGGATTAAAAGTTAGATGTGGGTTTCTGTCTGCTCCCCGAACCCCCACATTGTTCATGGATCAGGGGTATTGCCTATGGCTATCTTTCTGCACAATAGCAGAGTTTCGAGAGTTGTAGCAGAGACAGTCTGGCCCCCTTGCCTAAAATATTTACAGTCTGGTCCTTTACAAAAGAAAAACTGCTGACTTCCGCTATGGACCAAAGAGCAAACTAGAGATAGGTGATATGTACTATACATGTGGTTGTCTGTGAAATATATTCACAGACTCTTTGACCTACCTCCTTACAGGAGGTAGAGCTTCGTTTTCCTCCCCTTAAGTGGGGGCTGGATTTGCTCAGGTATTAGAATACCGCAAAGTGCTAGACTGGCCCTTCCGAGAGAGGGTTATAAAAAGACCGGCTTCTGTCTTGGGGTGTGCACTTTTCTTGGATCACTTGCTGGGAGGGAGGAGAGAGCTGTTATGAGCATTCTCGGGAAGTCTATGGAGAGACCCATGGCAAGTAGTGGAGTCCTCTGTCCGGTAGCTAGCAAAGGAACTGAGGCCCGTTGCCAGCAACCATGGGATTGAATTTGGAAGCAGGCCCTCAGCCCCAGCAAACCACTCCTGGGTTCCTGACCCTCAGAAACTGTGAGACAACCAATGTTTTTGTGTTCAGATGCTAAGTTTTAGGGTCCTTTGCTACACATGGTTAAAGAACTAATACAATACAGCGGCTCCGCTCCATGCCACCCCCTACCACCACACACATAGTTATACTCAGTATTGACACCTAAAGTCTTTAGATAGCGTTCTATCTTCTGGTTGCGTAAAACAAAGCTTGCCCCATTTTAGAATGGACACTTTTTTTTTTTTTAATACATTTTATTGATTTTTTACAGAGAGGAAGAGAAAGGGATAGAGAGCTAGAAACGTCGATGAGAGAGAAACATCGACCAGCTGCCTCTTGCACACCCCCTACTGAGGATGTGCCCGCAACCAATGTACATGCCCTTGACCGGAATCGAACCTGGGACCTTTCAGTCCGCAGACCGATGCTCTACCACTGAGCCAAACCGGTTTCGGCTAGATGGACACTTCTTAAAAGGAGCCCTTTGGACTCAGTCCATAACAGAGCTTTCCCATGCAAATTTTGCTATTGAAGCAAGTCACGTGGTATTAAGTTCACTGTGTGTATTGATACCTAAACGTTGTCTGATACTATTGTACTAGTAAACTATGCTACCTGAGACAAACCAAGTGAGGGAGTGTGGGGATTAAACCCTTCCAGAAAAGGATTCCCTATAGAAAATGAGGCAAGAAGGGATGGGGCAGATGATCAGGTTTTCAAGCTGGGAAAGAAGAAAAAGCAGAATAAAAAAAAAAAAAAAAGAAAAGAAAAGAAAAGAAAAGAAAAAGAAATACTTCTACCTCAAAGGTCTTTGTTTTCCCCCCTTAAGAGGAGTCTGGTAGCCACTGGTTCTAATCCAACCCATTCCATTCCATGGGCATTTGCATCTCTCACAAAGGAGATAAAAAATAAATATTTCAATGGCTCCAGATTAGTTTGGTGATGGCCCCTCTCATTCAAAACAGCCATTTTCTTAACCCTAAGAATTTGAACAATTAGGTCATTTTTCCTCCCAAAGATTTTCAGATAACAAGAAATGGGTTTCCTTTCACATGACAAATTCTACTCAAGTCTTGGCATCAGTCTGGAGCATGACTTCGATGACATTCCTTTAGCCAAAATTGGGTATGGTCCTGCAGGCAATGGATGTTATTTCAAACCGCTGTCTGGAAGCGAGCTGGATAAAAGGTGGATGTAGGGCTCCACCCGGACCTGCCAAATGGGGAGAAGGGTTCACGCTGGAAAGGCAAACCTTTCTCAGGTTTTCTGTTCCACTCTGTGAAGGAAAAGGGTCATCCCCGAGGGACGGCAGTTAACAAAGGACACTGCTCACGGACTGCAATCACAGCCTGCCATTTTTCATATGGGCTGAAACCAAGGCAACAGGTTCATCCTAACGCACTCTTCCTTCAGCCATGTCTGACAAACACCTGGCGTGGCCTCCCTGCTTCCCTTCCCGGGGACCACCCTGGGAGTTCTGTATGAAGAACCTGTTGCGTTTTGAATCCCTGACCCCTTCTCCTGATGGCTCCCCAAAATCCCAGACCATGGCAGCAGGACTTGTGAGGAGATGATAAAAACTTGGTGGGAAGGGGGTCTGTGGGTGGAGGAGAAAGTGCCAAGACACGCTTTCACAATAATTTGAAGCATTTTATCTTTTCTGACATGGAGCATGTATTATAATTTTTATAATGTTTTGTAAAAGAAGCAACATGCTTCATTCTGCAATTATTTGCAGTCTCCTTCCCCTGCCAGCTCCGGCTTCTTACACATCCATCCACCATCCAGCTTGCAGCAGAAAGTGGGTGTGACTGAAATGACTGCTTTCCATGTTTCTAATATAAAGACAAAGTGAAAAAAGACAAAGACAAGGTGGAATTCAAGGGAAGTGATCAACAGGAAAATAAATGCTTAACCTCACTAGTCACCAAAACATTGCAAATTGAAATAATGTTGTGGCCCTTAAACTGGCGAAGATTAAAAATAAGAAAAATGTTCAGTGTCCACGGCGTGGCCTCAGAGGAGTCACTCCCATAGCTATGATCAGAAGAGTAAATTGGGACAGCCCGAGCAAGAACGTGGCAGCTCTCTCACGGAGTGACAAAAAGCAGGTCACAAACCAGTGTGACCCCCTGGTTTTTCAAAAATGCATACATAAGTGAGTAAAAAAAAAAAAAAAAAAAAAGATATAAAGAATGTACTGAAACGAATCATGATTATATCCAGTTACATGAGCTTAAAATCTCTGCCTCTAAGGTCCTTAAGGACAGTG